TCAACCCAATTTTGATCAACAACTCGCTTTCCAAGCCAATCATGAACACTTCTATTTTTTAAGCGCCGATCCATATTATTATGATGATACTCATCTCGAGCATGGATAGACCGGCGATTGGCTTGAGATTGCCTAAACTCCCAATATTGTTCACTGCACTCTGGGCAATTATTTCTCTCCTCTTCTTTGTTGACGCTGGTATTCTTTATCTTCTAACCAACGCTGATAATCCTTTTCCTTCTGTCATTGCCATTTATTCAACAAAATTCGAGATGTGACACGCGGCCTTATCGCCTTGTTCCTTGACGTCACTCTCTGCTCATATCGGCTCTTCTGTTGGTCACGACGCCTTTTAATCTCTCTATATTCATCAGCCGATATTTGCATCTTTGGATCGACGGTTTCAGTTTCTTTTGCCCTGGTTGATGTTAGGACTTTAGTCTTTTCCTTGAGCAACTTAACATCAACCATATTCTGATCTCTTAGGAAAGGGTTAACATCAACTTTCATCTTTCGAGGTGTATCAAATTTAAGCTTCCCTTGCTGAATAGCCCTCCATATATGTTGCCAGAAAATTCTGCATTCGTTAGTAGAATGAGAAGTAGCGTTATGAAACTTGTAGAATTTCTTATTCTTCAACTGATCAGGAGTTGACATAACATGATTAGCGAGCAATTTGATATGTCCTTTCTCAAGCAAGAAATCAAAGAGCTTGTCTGATTTTGTGACATTGAAATCATAACTCTCCTCAACTCCTTTTCTCCAAGGATTTAGCACCATTACTGTCTTCTTACCCCAATTCTATTCGGCCATAGCAATCTCTTCTTCTTCATCGTCCTCATCGCCATTATTAACTGAATATGGATTATAAGCTTCAACAATTGCGGCATTCTTCTAGAATCGGGTATCTCTGCGCATATTCTGGAATTGGCTATTGGGTGCTGCCACCCGTTGAGCCAACTAACCTAAATTGTCAAACTCTTGCCTAAGTAGCTTCTTTCTCCACGTTGGTAACATTCCTTGAATGGCCAAAGCAGCTAGCTGATCATCAATCAGATTCAATGAAAAGCACAAATTCCTGGTTTCTCGAAACATCTAAACAAAGTCGGCACCCGATTCATTAGTTCTTTGCCTTATGGTCGTCAAATCTACGATTTTATTCTCCTGTCCTAGTATAGAAATATATATGAAACTTCTTCTCTATGTCAGTCCAATTGGCAATGGAATTAACTGGTAACGATGAAAACCAGGTGAAAGCTGGTCCTGACAGGAACAGGGAGAAGAAACGAACTCGATGAGCTTCAATAGATGCTTCGCCCAACTGTGTAAGATACTGACTGACATGTTCTATTGTGCTCGTGCTATCTTGACCAGTGAACTTAGCAAATTTCGGGAGCCTGTAATTTGTAGGAAGAGCAACCAAATCATACCACTCTGGATACGGACGTTTCTATGAAAAGGTCTGCCCTTTTGGTTTTAAACCAAATTGATTCTTCATTATTTCGGTTACTCTAAGCAACAACTCATCAGCATTTGAATTTGGATTTCTCTGTAGCTGCTGACCTATCTACGGATTAAAATTTCGGGTACCTTGATACCCTGTATTCGAAACCATATGAAGGGTATTGTAATCTGTTCCATAATGATATCCTTATGTAATTTCTATCTGTTGGGTCCTTTGCTGATTTGCTGCTTGAAGTCTCTGGTTATAAACGTTAGGATTTGTATCTCTATGAATCCTTAGAACTGATGGCGCTATTTTTTGAGCCGGCGATGGTATTTGGCCTGATGTGCCAAAATTAACTATTTGATTCTGAACTTGCCCTGTCGGCTGTTGCTCATACTGCACTGATGATCCAAGATTATTTTGTATTTGATTAGTAGTGGTATCTTGAACTTACTCAGATGAGCTCTGAACTGCCTGAATATCATCATTACCAGTGAGTGCTGCTTCTTGATGACTAGTACCGGCTTGATTAGTCCCCTGAGTCGATGGATGTGGAATGTTGTAATAAACCGGTCCAACCTGATCAATTGGACATCCATGAAACACCTCTTTCATGGTATTGTGGAATGCGTTCAAGAAAGCAGTATTATGGTTCAACATGGCATCATGAATAGATTTGTTTATAGCATCTACGAAGAAACGCCTATTATCAGCTTCGTCTGTATTTGACTGCCCATGCATCAAAACTCTTGGTAGTCGATATTTCTGAATAACTTTATTGTCACGTGTCTTGGTGTAGGACAACAAACACTTATTCTAAAATTCTTCTATAGCTTTATTGATGATATCTTTATCCTCATCAGGTAGGTCTTTATAAGCCACCATAAGAATGCCCCTGTTGTTGTGGGTTTGGGTCCCACCGGGCATGCCAGAATGTGTGTCGGCCCGAAAATGTGGTAGCTGTGCCGGGTGGACACGCAGCAAGCTAGAACAATATAGAGATCTGCCTGGCTTCAACGCAGGACCAGTCGATCCTACGAATTCCCATGGGCGTGCTAGTCAATTTGACCTGTGATTGATAAGGAGAGAAAGTTTATCAGTAATTTAGGGTGGAACATGCTGGTTTTGCCCAGATAGTTCTAAGTGTGCCGCTTCGGGAGCAGTCAGACAGAAAAATCGACTAAATAGCCGATACGAGAAGAAATCGTCTGTTAAAGACTGTAACGCTCGCGAGTCATGATTGATTTTATAGTAACGAATACAATGCGCCCAGTTTTAATGATCCTTTCCCTTAAGCTATTAACATGTATGCGTCAAAGATACATCACTGGCTAAGTTAAATTTGATCAATACGTGGTGTAGAACCAATGAATCTGGTGAAAAGGGATATGCCACGCAAACAATCGACTGTTTGATATGGACAGATCTATGAACTGTCTAGATCTAATCTATTACCGTCAACAGTGAGGTTTGACCGGATCGATGCAGCTATGATGATGATGATAGTCTAGAACGAGAAAATCCATAAAACCGACCATACTTCAATAGGTTCATGAAAGCGTGTCATATTTGTGAAAGCACATGCGAATCAACTAAAATAGCCGATTCAGATAGAAAAGGGATTACAACATGTGAACAATCGACTGTTTAATATGGACGGATCTATAAACTAATCAAATCTAACATGTTATCTTTAACAGTGGGGTTCGACTAGATCGATGGCAGCCATGATAAAGATAATAGATCAAACCTTTAAAATAAACAGATCTATTCATATTTAACAGAATCATGAAGACACACTATAAACGTTAAAGTATGGGCAATCAGCTATTTAGCCGATGCAGGCATAGCAAACAGTCAAGGTCACGTTTGGTCGAAAGCAAATCTACCAACTAGCTTACTCTGATTTAAAGTGCTAACAGTGGGGATCGACCGAATCGTTACAGCCTTAATAGCAAGCTATAGACTAGATTCAGCTAGCTAGTAAACCTTCTCAAGATCAGACATGCCTTAGCCGTGTACTATGCACAATCAAGATTGAAGTAGAACAGCCGATAAAACATAATTCGTCGTTTAAAGTAAGAACCATCGCAATGTGACAAAATAAATGATGGACTAAAAGGATGTGAGGCCGATCTAAATCAATCTCGATTGGGCAGGTTGATATTACTGAAACGAATGACAATAAGAACATCAGAAAGATCGGTAACTTAATGAATCTACCCGAAGGATGCCACCCTTAGGTAAAGCCGATAACTTGACCTTAATCTAATTCGAGCAGTGGTTGTCGAACTTAACCGATGCAGTCATACTTAAACTAGATAAGGATCGATAACTAACTTATATTAGAGCTCGTAAGAGGTCGGCCGGATCGATGCAGCCTTACAAACAAAAGTATAAGCCCTGACGGTACTTATAGACAAGCCAGAGGCCGACCGGATCGATGCAGCCCTGTTTGTTGAAGAACTCGCCGAGATCTACAGTACTCCTACTCCTAAGGGCTGGCGTGAAGCAAAAAAAAAGTAATTGATATTGATTGATTGGATGCCTTTTTATAATAGCCAGGGTCCAATATTTATACCTGGAACCTAAACATGAATCCTACTCAAATACGACTCATTACAATATTTGGAATAAAAGAAAATATTTCTAACTTAAAATAACTTGGACCATAATCTTTCCTTTTTTGTAGAGTCCGACATATTTTTCTCGACGCCAACCGTAGCTCATTGATGTTATCTGCTGATGTTATCCGAAGAGAGCCTAAACCAGTACAAATATGGCACGCTTTCATGAACCTATTGAAGTATGGACGTAGGGCTTTGACCTAAACCAGTATAATTTCTTGTGTCTTTGGATGTTACCATCGTCTTCATAGAGTAGCGTGAAACACGTATAAATTCACTCATCGGGTGACAAAACACCGACACATAGCAAGATGGATGAACTAAAAAAGTCAAAACGACTTATAATTTGTAACGGAGGAAGTATCTTGCATAGATTTTGATAAAACTAGAATAAAACTGGAGGAAGTATCTTGTATAGATTTTGATAAAACTAGAATAAAACTGTATGGACCAAGGTATAATTCTCTCACATAGATCTCCCCCCAGCCTTGATGGATGATACAAAAATCACACGGTTAACAAACAAATATATCAATTTCATGTTCAGATATGATCCACAAAACATTGCCTTATCTAGATCATACGCAAGGAAGTAGATCAATTATGTGATTAATTTTATGTACACGTTTTGTCAATCATGGATAGAGGTCCATATGTATACGAGAGAATTCCATGCAATTTTATTCAAAAACCCATAGCATGACTAACGTGTGGTAACCATGCTAGACACAAACCTGATGAACTCAAAACTTTTTTAGTGTTGCACTAAAGCCTCCAAAACTTCAAAAATCAGTTACTTGTTATTATTATATGACTTCTTTTGAAATTTGGAACTCTGAACAGTGAACGAGGGAGCACTGGTGAGTGGGTTACTCTGGTTAGCAAGGCCTTCGAATCGTCCCGCGCGCGCGGGCGTTCCAACGAGGATGCCGCCGCCGCCGCCCTTCCCATCCCCTCTGCCGTTGACGCCTCCGTCCTCACGTCCGGCGTGGAACACAAACCGCAACCTTGTGGTGACCCACCCTCTGCTGTCCCTCCTCGAGTCCTGCGCCTCCTTCCGCCGCCTCTTCCAGCTTCAGGCCCTGCTCACCGTCTCCGGCCTCGCCGCGCACCGCTTCCCGGCCTCCCGCCTTCTTGCCTTCTGCGCGCTCTCCGACCCGCCGCGCCTCGCCCACGCCGCCGCAGTCCTCGCCCAATGCGCCGAGGGGCCCAACGCCTACATGCTCGCCACCATGATGCGCGGCTTCCTCCGCGCCGGAAAGCTCGCCCACGCGCTCGCCCTCTTCCGCCGAGTGCTCCGCGATCGCCTCCCCGCTGACGCGCGCACCATCGTTTTCGCCGTTAAAGCCGCCGCCACTTCCTCCTCCCCCGCCGAGGCCATCCACTGCGTCGCCTTCAAGCGAGGATTCATTGGCCAGAGCGTGCTCGCGGGGAACGCGCTGGTGCACATGTACGCCAGCAGCATGTTATTACCCGACGCTCGGAGGCTGTTCGACGAAATGGCTGATACGGACGTGGTCTCGTGGACAACGCTGGTGGATGGGTTAGCGCGCGGTGGCTTGCCCGATGAGGCCTGGCGGGTATTTAGCAGGATGGTGGTTGCTGGAGGTGTGAGGCCGAACGAGGTGACTCTGATCGCTGCAGCCTCAGCAGCTGGGCAAATGGGGCTACTGGGATTGGGGAGGATGGTGTATCAGTGTGTCGTGGAGAGTGGCGTCCGCATTAGCGTTAACTTGGAGAATGCACTCGTTGATATGTTTGGGAAGTGTGGGTGTGTGGCCTCAGCGAAGGAAGTTTTTGATGGGATGGCCATCAAGGATGTGTACTCTTGGACGAGCATAGTCAGTGCCTATGCCAAGTGTGGTGATTTGGAGAATGCAGGGAAGCTTTTCAAGGAAATTCCTAATAGGAATGCAGTTTCTTGGAGTTGCATGATCGCAGCTTATTCACAGGCAAATCTGCCAGAGGAAGCCGTGAGGATATTCAATGACATGATTGCAGCAGGTGTGGAGCCGATTGATGCTACACTTGTCAGTGTTCTGTCAGCATGTGCTCAGCTGGGTTGCTTGGATGTTGGTAGATGGTTATATGACACTTACATTGTCAGTCATAAGGTTGAGCTTACAGTGAATCTAAGCAATGCATTCATTGATATGTTTGCGAAATGTGGAGATGTGGGTGCAGCATCAAGGTTATTTAGCAATATGGAGGACAAGAATGTAGTAAGTTGGAACACAATGATCGTGGCCCATGCTTTGCATGGTCAGTCTGAAGAAGCCCTTCATCTATTTCAAGAATTCAAAGGATTAGGTATTTTGCCTGATGAGATCACATATATTGGGGTACTTTCTGCATGCAGTCAGAGTGGTTTAGTTTCAGAAGGACGGTGCCATTTCAAAGAGACGAAGATAGTTTATGGGATTGAACCCAGGGCCGAACATTATGCATGCATGATTGACCTTTTGGGTAAAGTTGGGCTTCTTGAAGAGGCGTTTGAAGTTGCAAGGAGTATGCCAGTAGGAGCTGACGAGGCCGGTTGGGGTGCTCTTTTGAACGCTTGCAGAATGCATGGTAATGTAGAGATTGGCGAATGTGCAGTGGATAAGCTAGTAGGGCTGGATCCTTCAGACAGTGGAATCTATGTACTCATGAGCCAAATATATGCAAGTAAAAGCAAACGGGGCCAGGTGAAGATGCTAAGAACGGTGATGAGAGATAGAGGAGTAAAGAAGAATCCTGGATGTAGTTCTATCGAAGTGGATGGGAAATTTCATGAGTTTTTGGTGGCAGATGTTTCACATGTCAACTCAGAAGATATATATGCTGCACTGGAGAATATTTACCTTCACTCAAAGTTAGAAGGTTATATTTCTCATGCTTCATGTGTCTGCTGAAACTTCTTCTCTTGTTCATGCATCTCATAATTAGATTTGACTATAGACACAAAATGATAAGTTAGCGGCATACAGGATTTTATATATTCAAAACTCAGCTTACTGGTGAGGGTGAGCATATTTTCTTTGACCTTATACTGTTTTGTATTTGGTTCATGCAATGTGGCCTAAAAGTCAGATTTGTTCGTACAGTTAAAGCTTTCAAGAAGGCAGACACCTGTTCGCTTGGGCTTGTTTGGCTGATAAGCCGTAATTTATGTCTGATGGAGCTGAGTATATGGGCAGATAAAGCTGAGTAGTCTATGTCTGATGGACAATCACTGTGACTGTGACACAATATCCTGACTTCGGCCAGTTGTGCATGTGGAACATGTGCCCTGTTCGCTTGGCTGATAAGCCATGGCTGAAAGTACTGTTGGCTGATTTGTTGTGAGAGAAAAATATTGTTCGTTGGCTAAAAAAGTACGGTTTATAAGCCAAGCGAACAATTCTTTCTGATCGACTAACTGTGTAAGTCTTTGTGACTTTGTTAAGCTTTTATCTGTAGATTCTTGAATTAATATGTTCATATCATGTAAATTAGTTATGTTATAATTTTCCGGTAGGTGTGAATGGCATGCTGTGGAGCTTCTTAGGTTGAGTGTCTCCTTTGCAGATGTCCTAATTGTTGCGTCAGCAGAAGGCATTCCTATATGTGATTCAGGTACATAGCAATCAGTCTTTTTTTTCCTAATTATTCACCGAAGTCACGGAAATGATGCTACCATATGTCCATTTTATGAAATTTATCACAATACATGCCATGAAATATCTCCACTAGAAATCTGAAATGCATATTCTGGTTATTACTGGAGTAGGAAAATAAACGATATGTTTAAGTCCAGAAAGCACGTCTTGTCACCTTTATAATATTTTCTATAGTAGGCTGGGACATGAGAAAGCTATATGAACCAGTAAATTATCTCTGATCCTAGCTAGTCAAAGATATAATCACTGGAACAATTTTTTTTTACTAATGCCCATCCAAGACAAGCAGCATGGCAAATCTAGAGTTGTCATAGGATTGCAAAGCAAACTGAAATAATTCTTTGGTGTTGGGGGTAAAAATATAGAAAACAAAGCTTTGTTCTTTGTTTCTAGTTCAACTTAACGTCTCATCTTACGTCGGTACGTGTGCTTTCATGTGGGCTTCAGAATGTAGACTCATGGTACTGTGCTGACTGATCGGTGCATCAGGCCATCAGCGTCATGCCTTCATCTTCTTTGACCATTAGATGCATTAACAAATGACAATCTTGTAATCCTATTGCATTGCGGCATAGTTAGTTATGGTTGATTAAGTTCATTCCAGTTATAAATGCATAACTACTATGCTGCTCTCTCTCTCTCTGCTATAGTCCTACTATAGGTTGTACCACCACTTGAAGGCCTATCCAAGTTCATCATAGATGGGCAACTGAGAAACCACCTAACTTTCGTGGCAACCGGCAGCCTAATATAGCATAAACGCCGACCTAATTGAATGCCCCCTCTGCAGTGATTCATTGATACCCATCCAGAACTTTGTGGTGCCACAAGCCACTGTTGCCATAGTAATTCGACTGTCCAGTAGTGCAATTACATGTCACTGTGGTCAGTCAACTCAGCACATGCTCACTGCTGTTCCTAACTTCCTATCTATCTTCTGAAGTGTACTCCTGGGTCCCTAAATATTAGTCGCTATGATTTATGTGCCGATAACTTTGACTCGATTTATAGAAAATATGTGCAACATTTCTATCTCCAAATAAATTTATTAAAAAACTAGATTCAAATATCTATCCAATGATACTAATTATGTATCATAAATATTAATATTTTTTAATATATATTTAGTCAAAGTTGTTTCTCGGAAAACGAAAACGACATACATTTATGGACGGAGGGAGTAAGTGTGTAACGGACCACCAATCAAGTGAAAAATGATGCAGGTTAGGACAAAATCAAGTGAACAACTTTCCGAAAATTCTCTTAGAACTTGTCATGTACAGTAGCAAAGGTCTACATGCGCTTAAATTTATAGGGACAAACTCAATCCCAAAGAAGATTAAAACATGCCTATAAAACAATTGTTGAACAGCAATCTGACATGAGATGAAGTACATATCGTACTTGCCCTGTATCCTTCCTCCCTTGCAAAAATTGGGTGCTCTGCTAGCCTCATCATCAGAGGCCAACCTGATTTTTTCATGACTGGCCAGCGATGAAACGGTAGAGCACTCAGGATGAGAGTACCGCTGGCTGATTTTGTGTGAGAGAAAAATACTGTTCGTTGGCTAAAAAAATACAGCTTATAAGCCAAACAAGCCCAAGCGAACAGGGTGAAGAGCTAAAGGCTTTGCCGTGCAACCTGCATCGTGCAACCTGCATGGGCATGCATATTGAGTTGCACGCGTTGCCTGGGGAAGCACATGCATTTGGTGTAATCAGGTGGTAGAGATCAGCATGGGAAGTTGTTCCTTCTGCACTCTGGTTGCTGCATGTTGTAGCGACTGGTGCTCTGTAGTAGCTTTGCAGCTTGCACCTGCATGCATGATGAACCACACGCTGAGCGCCTGAGCCTGAGAGTCGAGTCCCCAGTCAGCACCTGTAGCACTCATCAAGCTCTTTCTTACTCCAGTCAGTGCTTAACCCCATGTGTTTTGGGGATAGGAGACATGGCGAAGGGAATAGAATGTACGTACGCGCGTGCTCGGATCAACCACGGATCCAGTAGGTGCGGCATTCATTTCATATCAGGCGCGCCCAAATCTACCGCCCCGCCCCCAACAACAGTTTCACGTTTCCAGTAGTGATGGCAGTCAAAGGCCTTTATGGTTGTGGGCTTGTTGCGCCGAGGGGCGAGGCAGGCACGGCAGCCACCAGCCTTCTTCAATGGGCATAACCTGTTGTCTTATCGTTTCAGCAGCCATAATATAAGGCCGTTCGGCTGGCAGAATTTTAACTGAAACTAACTTAAAAACACTGTTCTGACTAAATTATTGTGAGAGAAAAATACTGTTCCGGCTGAAAAAAAAAAAAAGCGAACGAGAAGAATATGGGATAAGCCGAATAAACCATACAAACGAAGCGAGCAGGGTGACCAACGAGAGAGGCATGCAGGAGGACGATACATTCACTGTCTGATTGCCACCTCAGTTTCATTGAAGCTTGCTGTTGCAGTGCTGCTGCGCACCGCAAGTACTGACTACGGGTGCATGTATGTATAAACGTATATGTACCCCAATCTCTAGCTAGCTACCACACCGGCGATCTGTCGCCATTACTAGTATTAATTAACTGATTGACTCGCTGCTCAATGCATTTATGTAGTTTAATTTGCGGCTGGCTTCATCATTTTATATCTTGTCATGGCACCATGCATGCATGATTTAACATTCATACAGCCATTACCCAGGTAACAGTAATACTAACCCATGCAGCACTACTCAACTAGGGTTTCCTTTCTACAATCTGCTGCCGGTGGACACCAAGCCTCCGATGGGCCACCGCGCGCCTAATGGAGAAGGCTCAGGGTCTCCAGCGGCTTGACGGCGACATCGAGCCTCCGATGGGCCACCGCCGCAGGCGGCGCAGCAGTCGCCAGCGGCTGCACGAACTTGCAGTTGGGGCAGGAGGGGGAGGACATGCAGAGCATGACTAGGAGGTGACAGTTGGCGCACGGCACGGCCACCATGTTGCCTCCAGAGAACAAAGCTGGGCCAGTGGGTTTCCTTGGCTCATCCTCGTCGGGAGCAGGGGCAGCAGCACCGTCGGCGGCAGCACAGCTGTCGACGGCGGCAGTCGTGGAGATGTTGAGGTCCAGGTTCACGCTCTGCTCCCGGGGTCTGACCCAGCTCTTCTTCAGCGTCTTCCTGTTGAGGTAATACATCCTCCCAGACTGCATGGCCAAAGATAAAAATCACAACATAGCTAGCATCTAAAGGCATTACAGATACACAATGATGAGGCAATCATGACAGCATCATTCATTCATTCATCCATTCATCTTTTCGGACCATGATCTAGCTCGTGAATCGTTGAGCTCCTTTAGAAATACTCCTAGCAGTGGAAATGGCCATACAGGCGCACGCACGTTGCATGCGTTGCCACCAATGGCCATGTGGGTGCAGTTTCCTTACTAGTTGCCCTGCTATTTACTGCCAGCTTGATGTCGCGTCGGTCGGATTATATTTTCGCGTAGGCGCCACGTCGGTGGCAGGACACTTCTAGGAATAGTAGTTGTGGGCTACTAATAGGCTTTCTGTTTGTACTAATAGCTTTTGCAAACTACACGTGTCGGCATGCTAGATACCACAACATTATATGCACATGAACAGACGATCGGCATGCATATGGGTGAGAGTGGGATGATTACTGTAGTTTTTGTTTTATTGACAGAGAGTATTGATTCTTGAACGGGAAGAAACAAAGAACATATCGTATGCAATGCAACTGCAGAAGCTGTCATTAGAGAGAGGTACTCACTAGGAGGTCGAGGCACTGCTCCCAGTCGAGAGGCAGGGGGTCGTTGAGCTGGAGCTCCAGGCTCGCGGGCGGCTGCTGATGCTCCTCCCAGCTGGCGGTGTAGTGCTTCCTCTTCTTCCGGGAGCTTCCGTCAGACTCGGACGAGGAGCTCTTGGCTGCCAGGCCACCGGTGGTGAAGCCCGGCCACACTGGGCCGAGCGACAGCTCCGGCTGCAGCTCCATTCTCTTCTGCAAGCTCAGGCTCCGGGCGGCCTCCTGGTGGAACTTCTTCACACTGAGGAACTCGGTGGTCATGGTCGTGGCTGGCTGGACGGTGGCACCACCACCACACCACGGGTCTATTTATATGTGGTTCTACCCTTGGCGTAGGAATAGCTAGGAAGAGGAGAATTGAAAATTGGGTGATGAGCGAGTGTGAGAAGAGGTGCTGCTTGGTGGTCGTCCTCTTCTCCTAGAGGTAGAGAGGGATAGCACAGCACTGTGGTTTTGATTGA